GTAACTCCCTAATTAAAACCTCACGCCACTTCCCCTCCCATATCTCTACATTCATTCACATCTTTAATTCTCCACCTCACCACCATTACTCCCCATCATTCTAAATCCACTCCTCTCCTTCCATTCCTCCATCATTTTGTAACCCACCAACCATCCAACTCCCTCTCTCCCTCTTCCTTATGGATTCCGGCCAGTAGAATCCCAGGAGACGACGGAGCTCCAGCGAAGAGAAAGAAGGAGAAGGACGAGAAGAAGAAGAAGGAGGTGCTGATTTTTGGATAACAAATCCCGTCAGCCCACTTTGGGCTGAATTTCGACCATATTAAACTCGCTATTTGGTCGTTGTTTCTTGACCAGAGTTGTAGCCTTGCGAGTTGGTGAACCATAGCCGCAAACGGTTCGTCAATCGGACGAGTAACGAAGTAGATACGGCCGTTTTACCAAAACTGGTGCAGCGGCGACGGAAAACGCGAGGTTTGCAACTTCCGCCTCCGTTCTCGTTTCGTCCCATCCAATCCGCTACTCGTTGAATGCGTGCCGACTCTTCACAACCCGTATAACATATTCTCGAGAAGAAAAGGAACTCAAGAAGCCGTCGGGAAGTCGGAAGGTCAACGGTTTGACAACCGTTCCTTGACGTTGATTCATTCAGTCCCTTCTAACGTTGTGTCGTATCCAAGGTATGTACACCCTAGATATAACGGAGGAATCTTTAATATATTTATATGCGAATACGTTTGTTGTTTATATGATTATTTGTATATATATTCATATCATGTTATATTCTTGATCTATTAACGTTGCGTAGAGAATAACGAGGATTACAAACCGTTATGAAATTGAATGATTATTCAAGGCTAAACGGATGTTTGACTCAAATGTAAACAATAAGGATTGTGAAATAAAAGTGGAAGAACGGTTAGATTATGAAGAATATGTTTAGGCTTGAGGAAATACCAATGAATATCGTAATAGCATCACTAGATACGTATATGTGTATATATTTGTAAATCTTACATGTTCATTATAATTTTCAAAAGGTTGAACGTAATTCGACAGACCAAGGTAGAACCCGAGTACTGTGATATATAGTAGACTGTCAAATTCTTAAAATCTACTATCAGGTGCTGCTGAACTCTGACAGTCGATTATCACAAAGTGACAATCGATTATCAGAGGCTGCGGAAGTTTGATAATTGATTATCAACAAGTGATAATCGATTATCAGGGGCTGCTGAATTTTAAGAAAGTTCCGAAATCAAAATGCTTTCAAGGTAAGAATCAACAGTTGAAATATGGAGAAAAAACCGATACTTAGCTTTCAATATAAGCCTTCGGGATCATAAGCCAGGCCTCTATGAACTTGGGTTTCTTTGACAAACCAACAAGACAATCGATTGTCATAAGGTGACAATCGGCTATAACAGTTTGCAGAACTTTGGGAACAGAAGCTGCACAGCATGATAATCGATTATAACCAATGGATAATCGATTATCAGCTAGTTCTGAACCCAAGGCCATCATATAGAACAAATCGTTATCATACAGAATTAAACTTATATGTGTGCGTTGAACTTAACCCCATTCATCAAGCAATGCATTCATATCATCATGTATATCCTAGACGCATGTGTAGGATCATGGCATACTTTGCATACCGCGACAAGAGGTTAGGCCTAGTGCGCCTCTTCCGCGGGCCTGTCCAGGAACCTACGGGATCCAACGGGTTTTCATCACGAGGGCTTGTGTACGTACATGGTAGCTAGGCTTCAGCTATCACCCACATTTCTAGTCTCCATCGGGGAGACTAAGGCGTTCCTCGGCTCATCTACCGCGTGGGGATGATCACCGAAGGGCAGGGGGTCCCTGCGCAATCTAACTCATGCAACATGAATCATTTGACATTGCATCGCTTGTAAGTAATTATACAAATCGAAATTATCAAATTGTGTGTGGTATGGCAAAACGTACTGCACTTCATATCCAACATCGTCAACGACAAGGCCAAGGTATTTATGTTTGGATAATATTCCAAAATGAATCTCCATGATATGTATATGTGTTTCTTGTATATTGAGCTATCTACTATGCAAGCATGAAAATTATGTGGCCAATGTGATGCATGGTATTTAAGTATAAATATGTTATCGATCTCTCGCGTTATCGTACCACTCAGCTTTATGCTGAGCGTGTAGTCTTTTTGTCTACACGTAGGTTGAAGCACAGGTCATGTGAACCACCTGGAGGACGAAGAGACGATAGGATGGCAGGTTGACATGCATGATTTTCACAAGTAATGCATTTGAAGTTTTGGGGCTTGACCCACATCATTGTATTTGTATTAATTAAGTCTTCCGTTATCTCTGACATTTTGTAAAAGGATCGATCCGAATTTAATATGTTATATTTTGAATTTTTGTTTTATGAATTTTATTTAATTATTTGGAAATATTTTAAAAATATTTCTCCCGTTTCACTTTAATTCGTATAATTCTGGGTTATACGAATTGGGGTGTTACATGAACATACTGTTGTAATTTGCAAACCATTTTTGCATTGTTTTAAATAATTTTACTCCGATGCTTTTTCAAAATTTTTTGCACAATTGTTTAAAATAAAGTTTTAAATATCTTAAATTCTGATGTTACCAAATTATTACTTTAGTCCGAAAGGAGTTGCAGACCTAGACGAATTAGGATGTTACATGAATGCTCCAAGAGTTGGATTGGCAACACATGCAAAGCAGGCTAGGCTCATAATCTGAGGCGCACGTTTTTCACTTCTCTCTGGAAGAAGAATACTCCTTACACTCTGCAGAACACAATTCCATGGATTTTAAAGGTAAAAACATATTGAAAATAAAAAAGGTTGACAAGTCGATAATCATCTGTTGTGGAGAATCAATTTAGTCTATCTACCCCAAAGTTGACATTTCAGTAGTAGTCGACACTCAAATTTTGTGGATCTACTACGTATTTTGAAGTTAATTTGTAGTGGACGAGAAGAAGTTCAGATTTATTCTAATACTAAAAAATTAGAATGTAGTCGACCCACGATGTGTAACTTACCTTGGCCGTGTTAATTGCATTCACAATGTCTGAGTGTGATGACTTTTTTAAAAATTTATCATTTCAGAGACACATTCTCGGGAGTGCAAGATTTGTTTGCCCACACTTCACTCCAAATACCTCTCCAAAATCAGGAATATACTCAAACAACAGATACTGCATGCACTAATGAGTAAAATCCAATTTAACCAACGAAATTATGCAAAATTTGAAACTGAATTTAAATTCATATACTCATGGATGAGTGGAGAAGAAATCCAGTATAACAGAGGATGTTGGATGTTTTGTTGTCTTTACCAATTTTTTTCTTCTTTGCTACTAAGTCCTTTCCCAACGACTGGATATGGAGAGACTCCATGAATGCCAAAGTCTCCCATGAAAAAGCTATGAAAACATCAGAGTTTAAAACTTTGGTGATGATCCGATCTGGAATGGGTACATATTTCCTTGTATGATCAATAAAAACAAGGACAACAAACATCAATGTCGCCACCTTCACGATCCACTCGCTGGCATACTCTTTCTCTTCTTTCTCGTTAAGTAGCTGGAATAGTTTTAAGAACCTCTCAACTACACAAGTGTAACAAACCACACCTTTTGGTCGATTATCTTAAACAACAACACGAAGTGCATTTGAATCACACTTCTCTTGATATCCAGACGCTAGTTTTGAACACTTAAATCCAGTAACCAAAGAAAATTCTATTACAGAGTATCTAATGAAAACTCTTACTACAAATCACATTTCAACACATCCTTCCACATTTGCCTCCCTAGCCGTCAACTGCCATAACATGGCTGGAGCAGGCACAAGCTGGACATCGAGGAAAACATCAAGGGCAGAATTTCTTCTAAACTCTTATTGGACTTCCATATGAATGCATAACCTTTCTTTCAACACTTTTTGGAAGTTTAGACGTGAAGACTTCACAGCCACTTCATATGTGGAAATTCCTTCACATTAACCTTCGTCTTGACCTCCATAACCAATATAAGAGCATATATTGAGAACAAATTTCATACTGAATGACATATCAAGCATTTCGACCAGGGTCGACGTATTAGCTAGGTCGATCACGTATGTAAGTTGACCTGACCAATTATTCATAAACATTGGTCAGTGATTAACTAGAGAGAAAATTAAATCATTTATTATCAAATTTTTGACCCGGAGAGTGTTTCTAGTGGCCTTTGGGCTTCTGTTACGATGTGTGATCATCTTTTTTGCATGATACCCATCGCTTTCGTTCTTGGGGTACGACACAGAAGCATTCTTCATCCTCATTGTAGAGATTCAAAGATTTTTGAGATCAGCAATTTTGGGTAGAGCGGGTTACGATCAACTTGTGCGGGAGTGAAAGAGGTGGAGGAGAGAAAATAGATCAAAAACACAGTGGTCGCACGATGAAGGAAAGGAAAACATGTCTTTGGAAGTTATTGGAGGGTTTTTATTTAGTCTTTTCCGATGTCATTTTGCCCATTCTTTTTTTTTATTTAAATTTGAAAATAAAGCTCTGTTAACGCTTCATTACCTAACCTTCTTTTTCATTTTTTAAGAAGCGCGTCACACTTAAACATCTGAACATTTCCGTCAATTCACTCTTACAAGATAGTTCTCCAAATACAAAACCTTTTCAGGTCATTTTGAAAAAATTTCAAGAAAATAAATTTTAATTATAAAATACTTATTCTTCATGATCCGTCCTAAAACATCATTTTGGAATTGACTTCTTAAACTATTTTGGCTCTTTTCATTGGAACCCTCAACACTCGGTAAATTATATTATACATCCGGTTGTACTCAATTTTAGGTACAATCAAGAAATTATTGGTGGTATGAATTTTATTTAAATAAAAATGAACACTAATTCAGAGCCATCTAGGATCAAGTTCTACCATATACCATTCTCCTCAATACCCCGTGCTCGGACCAGGTCTGCCATCTCAAGCATTGGTAGTAAGTTGCAGCAAAAGGCAAAAGCCTGTGTAGCACCTAAAATCTGTGCGGGAAGAGGATTGCGTAGCCGCAGCAGGGCCATACCTGAGAATGACGGAATCAATACCATTCAAGAACCTCCATAACAGAGAATACCATGGCCACAAGAAGAAGGTACTGAACTGATTGTAAAATTTTCACTGTCATTTTCAAATATTCATCTTTCGGAAAAACCCTTAACTGTCCGCTTTCTTTTTCTCCTGAATTTTGCGAACCCAATTTGTTTGTAAGGCTGAATGAACTGTTTTTTTTCCTTTTTTTTAATGAAATACAAAAGGTTCATTCTGTAGCGTGGAATTGCATTGGCACTAAACTAGCTTCAGAATCGGTTGATCAAACTGCTTGTATTTGGCATATTGATCCCCATGGTCATGTAAGCTTATTCATTTTAGTTAACTTCAAAAATGAACCTCTCTGCCTGCTTCTTTGTAGCTTAGGAGAATCTCTCTGCTTATTTCTTTTTACCTTAAGTGAATCTCTCTGCATGTTTCTTTGTACCTTAGGAGAATCTCTCTGCTTGTTTAGTGTCTAATATAAGGTTTTTTTAGTCGAGTTAAAAATTTTCATTAAATGAACAAAAGATGTGTACTCTTGAGTCTTGACACTTTTTTTAATCTCTTCGATCTTCCTGAAAGTGTTTTGATATTTCAATACTCCACTTTTTTGTTGGAGCATGAACCTGAAGAAAAAAGACATGCCAACATGACAAAACTGGTTCTGCCAAAGCCTTCCGACCCCAATTTCCATATCCTTGTATCAAAGGCTTCGTT